TATAAATGACAGACGGGCAAACATCGTATTTCGAACTTTTCGAACTTTCGCCATGTACGAAACGTCACCTGGTGAAGGCGTTTCCTAGCATGTTCCACGACATTTACTTGAATTATTAGCGTTTCAATATTGTTTCAAACTTCTCATCCACGAAAATGGACGCATTATCCGGATGCGTCGTGGCAAAATGCACATGTTTGACGTCTCCGGTCGAGCTTTATACGGAAAGCGCTGGTCTGCTTATTCAGCTCTGAAAACACTAACAAACTTATTCAGCCGTGACAGTTTGCGAGCCCCGATGTGCCCCAGCTGTCGCGGCGCGTCTGCGCGTCTTTATACCACCCCGCTTAAAAGCCTGGGCAAACGCGCATACACACGGGCAATGGGTTTGACCCGGACCCGGTGGGCGGCTGAATGCGACGTGCTTTGGTGATGGAGGGTCAGTTTGACCTCCCTTCGGTGAGGGAGGGTCAGTGTGACCTCCTTCGGTGAGGGAGGGTCAGTTTGACCTCCCTTCGGTGAGGGAGGTCAATTTGACCTCCCTTCGGTGAGGGAGGGTCAATTGACCTCCCTTCGGTGAGGGAGGGTCAATCTGACCTCCCTGAGATATGGAAACCTAGCGAGCTAGAGACACCACACATTCATGGGATAGTATCACTCTATGTGAATCATTTTCTGTCACATTTTAGATCGCTACATGGCGTTCTCGGGTTAAATAGGGTTAATTAAGGTCAAACTCGACATCGCGTCCAATCCGACCTCAGGCCTTAAGCTAGCTTTAACCTAGAAACACTTTAAGCAAGAGGTCACTCAGGGTGACATCAGGTCAGTGACCATATCACCTTCGCTGACAACTATGGCCTGACTTTGACCCGCTACAGGTCAGCGATCGTGGGAGAATATGATAATATTTTATGCTGAACGATCGGCAAATGAATTGTTCACAGCTATGCAAAGCATGGTTGTCAGTGCTGATACATATTATGTAACTTCCAAACGCACCCCCTGTTCTCTTGCATTTGTTATTTACACACACTTGCACGCCTGCATTTGATCTGTGTTGTATGCATGCTGTATGGGACAGCACAGTGACGTGCCATGGGTGTAAAGCTGGCGGGGCTATGTTAGTCGACATCTGTTTCATATACTGTTTCAAGTTGATACTGGTGGCGACTACGATTGCCCGTGCGGTTTTCTCATAGTGCAATGACCCTTATCACCGTATCATCAATGTCCTACGCACCGTTATCCGTTATCCGTCCACTGTGATCTAACGCCAACTGAGGCATCCTACTGTGCTCGCATGTCAAGACGGTCACTACTAAAATACCTCCCTTCCCCTTGCTCTAAGTGTTGGTGCCGAAATTTCTCTCAGCGATACCAACACCGCGTGCATCATTATCAATGTTCTGTTAACTGCTTTAAACGAAAAGCATGTTGCTAGGTCCAGTTTCAACGTCCATGTTTTCTGCTCAGTTCATTAACGGCGGTGCGTTGTTTACATAACCAGTGGGCTAGATACTTGCTAGAACTTCCGCGCCGCCCGCAACGCCAGGTTGCCGTGAGTGATCAAAATGTTCCGCGTCACAGGGGTTGCGGCACCGCAACCGTATGGCACTATCGCTGCCATGCATTTTAAGGGCGCATTACGGATCCACCCGGGTTCCGTGTTCAAGTGAGCTCACGCTCACTTCATGCTCAGGTCACATGGCCTGCATTCCAATGCGCTAATTCCGTCGAGCCGACTGTCCAGACTCCACAGCTGAACCAGCCCGGTAGGATTTGAGCAGCAAAAAACTTGACTTATGCGACCGACTGCACTGATACATAGGTCTGCACCGACTGCACTGCACTGTACAGGTCTGTGCGCGCATATATATATATATATATATATATATATAATATATATATATATATATATATTACAATGTTGCAGCGTGAACTTCCGCCCGGAAATCCGTGCACAGAATGTTTTCCGCCGACAATCATGTTTAAAACCACGGCTTGAGTAATGACACAATTAGAAGCGGGGAAACTGTCAACGCAACGGATGCAGGGAATGCAGTGCAATGCAAAGCTTAGTATGCAGCACAACTGGCAGTGCATCACTCGTACGACCAAATTATTAAAACATGTGCGTATATCCCGCAAAAGGTCTGAAGTCTGTCTTTCCCCACGCTAATCCACGTCTTGTATTGCAGTGGGTAAGGGTCTACGTAGCTTACATGGCGGTCTCCACCTTTTATGAAAAACCGGTCCAATTCGGTCGCGCTGCAAACTCTCTCCAGCCAATGCTTATTCGTCCCCAATGGCACTGCAGAATCTCTCCTAGTTACTCAAGCCATTCATATACGCTTTCACATACCTGATTCCAATTTAAACTGGCGACTGACCGCGTTGGTTGTAGGGGAGCGACGCAGTGAATAGTGCCACCAAGGAAGCTAAGCCCAAAATTACACAGGACACCAAACTTGTTTGCGTGTCAGCATTCCGCGAGGGACCACTGGCATGGAACGCAATGTTACTACCCAGACAAACATCCCCCAAATATCACGTGCATTTGCTTACGGTTTATATCATTCGAATGAATTAACAATATTCACGAGCAAGCAGCGACGCTTGCTTGCGCCTGACCCAACACCTGAACCCGCACCTCAGCAATCAAAGCCATATGAATACGTTTCTACCGCATAGCTAGCGTCATTCTTTTGCGTACGTGGTCGCGGTTATGTAAGCCTCGCCCGTCCCGCGACCGGAAACAAAGTTGCCTCGAAGAATCTTTCTCGGCTCGGCCTGGGGCAAATTTCGTCACGAGCGGCCCCGCCTGGTTGTCCGCTTCCATACAGCTAGTACAAGTACTAGCTATACAGTAGTACTAGCTGGTACAGTAGTAGTACAGTAGCTAGTAGTAAGTACTAGCTAGTACTAGCTAGTACTACTAGTACTAGCTAGTACAGCTAGTCTTTGTAACAGCATATGGTGTCAGATGCAGCTTTCAACAAGAAGCGTAATTCTTAAATGTAGTGTGTGTGTAAGCTGCACTGCATCTGCAAACAAGCTCTTTAATCAAGCATAACCTTTCCGCGGCATTCCGACCTGAACAAATAGGGCCTTTCCCCCCGTGAGCTTAACAAACAAGCAAAAACTTGGAACTTGCGAAAAATGCCCGACCCGGTTCAAAATCGGGCTCGTGTCTTGACCTGCCATCGCTGTAGCACGAGAAAGTCACCCTTGCTGGGGCGAAAACGGGCATGCGCACCGGCAAACGGGACCTGACGTCACGCCATGACCTGGCACATCATAGATCCCGGTGCGCGCCGGCCTCGAGCGCTCGAGCGCGAACCATGGAGCCGCACGTCTTGCACGCGGTTAGAATTGATGTCGGACACCGGGAACCAAAACGGTTGCCAGCGCGCGCTGCACGTGAGGCGCTACAAATGACAACACGGTGCCAATGATGAATGAAAGAGGTGCAAACGTGCACCGGTGATCAATCGGCCCGACATTGTGATATTTTCGAAAACAGCCTCGAATAAAACCCGTCGTGCCGTAATCTGCGAGACTGAACAATGAAAAACTACACAGGACTGCAGTTTGCCAAATGTGGCCAACGTCCACATTAAGCGTCTCCATTTGAAGGGCCTGCATTTGAAGCGTCTGACTTTTGCAGCACTTTGGTTACACTAAAAAAAAATATCCAAAGTTTTGATCTCCTCTTCCCAACCGTCTTCAGCCAATTTTCAACAGCGTGTTTTACGGAAAGTGCGACCACCGTACGAGTAAATCCCCGCCCGTCACGCCCTCATGAGAGACGTGTTGTCCAGTCATCCGCCAGACCAGTTTGTATGAGCTCCACAAAACGCGTTTATATTACTTAAGTTTTTTAATAAACTAGAAACGACTGTTCATAATCACGCCAGCTGTCATCTCACCGGTCCTCCGCTCCGCAAAGCGGCTTATTGATCATCACAAACACCAGTGTTCACAACTCCCTCTTTAGAAACACCCGCGCCGTACTGACCACAGCGGGAAGAGCTTTCTAGACTTTCCAGCAGGCAACAGACACTAATGTTCCTGAGTTTTAGCGTAAGGTGGAGGGATCTGTGGGCATGAGCAAAATTAACGGGCTCATAACGACCTTCACTGACTCGGACGAAGTTTCGTCCCTGCTGTCCGTCCCTCTATAGTCCACCACCGTCGCCACCGGCGTCAGACGGCACCGCCGCCACGACACCGCACACCCCATCCGCTCACCTGGCTGGTTGAAGAGCATGATCAGCGCGAAGGGGAAGATGAACATGGCCAGGAACAAGACGATCTGGCGGCGGGAGCGGGCGCCCGCCATGGTGGGGCTGCTCAGCCCTGCCGGCCGCCGCCGCAGGCCCCTGCCGACAGAGCGCGCGCACGCCGGTCACCGCCCGCCACCGCCACCGGCGCCACGGCTGAGCCTGCACTGCGGCTCCTGCCGGCATGCCACCGACGCCACCGCGCCGCGCCGCGCCACGCCACGCCGCGCCGGCGCCAGCCGGCCCGGGCGTGCCGGCCTCGGCGGAGGTACGCTGGCGAGTACGGCACGGGGTCGGCCTACGCACCGCGCTGCTATCAAGTGCTGGGAGAAAAGGCGGCGTCGCAGGCCAAACACGCGTCGAGGGACAGAGGGGCAGGTTGTGGAACGTGGCGTTGCGGTGCCCACGGTACTGTGTGATATGGGGCGACGAGTTTGGGGTATGCAGACTTCCGAAAAACATTAAAGGTGACCATAACTGGGGAGGGCAGCAGGCACCAAACTGACGCTGTAAGAAAATGACTTGCGCAACATCTTCCAGAAGTAACCCCAATGTGTTAAGTATCATGCGAAGAGATATTGCACTGTGTACAGCACTGCACTCCAACAGCACTGTGTACATCTGAAATCCGTGGGAGACCAATTAAGACCCAGCGGCTGGCTATGCTGAAACAAACCGACCGATCGGCTACGCAAGTCCGCTGTGAGGCGAGCTTAACGGTCCGCCTAATGACCATTGAGCCCGCTAAGTACATGTCTTCGACAAGTGTTAGTGGTAATGGGCGCCGTTATCTGCCAGCTGGATTACACACGACGAAAAAAACATGTAACGCTGCCACGGATTATCTTGTCGGATGCAAGGAAACTTGATAGGGAAGCTGTCGAGCGTCATTTAGTTCTATCGTGTAATCATCAAATACGCATGACTGTAAGCACGACGCCATCAGGACAGCAGGCTTGCTTCAACAGCTTTTTTCTTTCTGGATATTCTTTTGATAGTTTCAAAAATAGTTTGCGTCAGAGAAAAACAGCGTACGCAAGACTACTGCACTTTTATCCCAATTTAGGTGTATCCATGTCGAATTTGTGTCCGTCCAATTTTTTTAAATCTCGTTTATGTCTCTGTCAACTATTTCCGCTTTGGCTACTTTTCCTGTCGACTTTTATCCCTTTCAATAACTTGTGTTCGATTTTTTTCCATTCGGCTTTTCTAGTCGAACTTTGCCAGGAAATCGTCGCCTGCAGCTGGGCGGAGAGGACAAGAAAGCATGGAGAGGGAGGGAACGACAAACGTGCAACAAACGTTGCACCAGCAAAACTTCACTTTGAGAGAGCGAGCAATGACAGTTTACCCAATGCATACAGAGACTATTAAATGCAAACCTACGGAGAATACTCAATCCGTGTCTACAGAGAATACTTGATGCGTACCTGCAGAGAATACTAACTTATCATATTCACAACAAAGATTTTCACCACGCGTAATCATCTCGTTATGCCAGGTGATTTGAGGGTCGATTCAGCCTGATACCTGCATCTTGGGTCAGCAAGTCATTACAACAGCCACTGATTACAAACACGAACTTGAGTTCATAATGAGTGGCATTCAGCAACGTCAGACCCTGCCTTTTAACGTCATTTACATTATGCTAAAACACTGATACATGCAAGGTGCGAGAAAATGGACGCCATTTGCAAATCAGCACCATCGATTCCACCTCACCTCACCTCCACCTCACATGTCATTCGTTACTGCGGTTCAACCTGTTCTCGTTAAACCACGAATCCCAGCAAATATGCCATACTTACGGAGCAAAACGCACACTGGATGCCTGTTCATCATTCACCTGCGCAAACTTGTCAACGTCTTTCATTTTGAGCACCGTCAACCGCGATTAACGACCGATAGACATTTTCGATTGGTGACCTCATTTGAACCCCAGTTGCTTGACCTATGACTGCCGCCACGCTACAGTCTCATAGCACCACCCTGGCTGATGGTAATATTCAATTCAATCCTTTAAAACTGAACTGCTCTACTACCGCTGGTGGTAGCAGGCAGCTGGGGCATACCGCCTTCCTCCCTCCCCCCCCCCCCCCCCCTCTTCTTCCCTCCAATAACCAGTGTCATAAAGAGAGAATGGCGGGCAATTGTGGCGTTGGAAGTAACTTCACACGCCGTTACTTCGAATCCGGTTGCAAAAGCGTACAAAGTAACTACTTACTTCAGCGCCCTACGATTCTTCTATTTACGGGGAGACCTGAAGTAAGGAGTTTCTTCATCCAGGCATCCATCGGGTTTCATAAACGCAAACTGCTTTGACCATGGAAAAGATAGTTACTACGAAACTGAAGTTAACAAAAAGATGCTCTGACCAGGTCGTAAAATCATCAATGGTGATTACCGAGGAGCCGGCGCTTGGCCATGCGGGAGCGGAGGAACAGGCCATTCCAGGACTCAGAATCAACCTGCAGTGAGAAACCTGTTGCGCTATGAAGCGATGACAAACACGGCAAGGGCGGACAAGTACGCATATGTGAGAAAATCAATGCAACTGAAATTCGCCATGCAACTTTGTGGGCATCACAAAGATACAGCCACGAGCTGTGGCTGGATAAAGCTCGCAGGCCGTTATGAAAACCAACCTCTTTTCCACATGTTGCGGGTTCCACGAATTTGTTTTTCTTTTTTTGTTTTGCTATGACACGGACAGACAGGATACAAGTCAACAAGTGCACGAACATTGGGTGAGGATGAAGCCAGCTTTTTCCGGGCTTTTGTCGTTAGGTGCATATTGCCTTCGAAAGTAGAACACGAAAGCTCAAGAGCATGAACACACGAACTAAACAGCTTTGTTTACTGCCGCGAGTAGCGGAACAATGCCGAGCTTATAAGATGTCTGCATTTCAGCAAATAAAAATATGATCGTATTGGTCTATGAATTTATGGCCACTCAAATTGCACATTCATTGCTGGTATTCCTGTATGTATCAGTGGCATCTTAATCTCTCGGGTCTAAAGCGACAGCATCGTTGCATGGAAACGGCCGGTTGTACCGCTATTGAGCTCATGGCTACAGAAATAACATTGGACCTTACTTCAACGTCTGCATTTTACGATTTACTTTCGGAGTGGTGATGCCAGGGTTATGAAACTGGCGTAGGAGGTAGGTAAGTACGCCGAAATATCTTCGGCCTGCCAGAAGTAGAAACTTCTCTTTATGAAACTGGTTACTGACGCGCGTTAAGTGGAGCAGCTCGGAAGGTTTGACGGCGACATACTTCCGCCACCGTTAGCTATGTTGCCCCAGCGGTGTCCGGGAGGCTGCTGGTAGTTTTAGTACTCGCAATATCAGAGCGCACCCTATCGAATTTAAGCCCGCGTGTGCGCCAGGGGTACGTAGTATTTTGCTTTCGAGCGTGCGAATCAAGACCCTGTCACCGCCAGACCTAAGTACTGTCGGAGCGATTTTGCAGCGCACCGTTGCTATAATCGACTTTCAAAACTTCCTGTCAGGTGAGACGACCGACCCAGTCGCAAGCGGCGGCAGCTTATACACTAGCAGTATCCTTCTCGGTTTATCTTGGTATCGCTTCAAATAGCTTCACTGCACTTAAAATAACTTCCACCCAGCACGTAGCCGTCACTCAGCCCGGGGGCCTATCGCAGCGGTGCAAGGTCCTACGAGATTGTCTTGTCTGGGGATGAGGCGGGGATACTTGTTTGCTGGCCTCAGATAACTCCTCCGGCGAACGTATGTGCGCCTGGGAGATATGCAGGCGGCTGGAGGAAGGAGGGTGACGAGCACTCTCGACGAGACTCCATACGCTAGGGACGCCGAGCATGTTTGGACGCTGCCGCGGCTGAGCCAAGGTCACCAATTGTTCAGCGCGCGCTGGACCGGTGTTAGTGTGCAAGGACCGGCCGCCTGTCCGTCGTTTCACTATCAACAACAGCAGGGCCTACGCACCAAAGCCGACAAGGCCCAAACGGTCCCTTTGCCACCGAGTCACCATTCTCCAGGAGACCGGGGTGACGACTTCGCGAAAGATGGGCTGGGAGTCCGTTGCAGCAATGACAAACTGAGAATGAGTGATCGCCTCCTTCATAACACCGAAGCGTAGTATTTTTAAAACGACTTTGAATTATTGCTTGCACACCCAAAAACAAAACAGTCGCAGGCCCCTGACGCACCCCCCATGGTACTAAAGGTACAACAACCCCAACTGCCTCCAGGACAGTCCTGCATAACAGCCATTCACCCTGACAAACAGCCGTTGTCATACATCTCCGGAGCCCCCAGGCCACACTGTCCTCCAAAACGGCGAACCGTCCTCCTCACAGCTCGCCACTTACGTCAACTGCATGGAAGTGGTAGACAAACCGATCAAACTCCATCGACCGACTTAAGAGCTCAGGTGAAAGGTAGCTCTCCTGCACACAGCCCACGTCACCGCCAACGTACGACCTTTAATAAAGTTGTCATGGCGCGATGCTTTCAAATGGCGCTCGTGTTGCAAGCCATAAGCGTAGGTTGAAAGAACGTCAACGAATACGATACCAAAAAGATATGGTGGCGTTGCATGTGCAAAACGCCACAGCGTTACATACCAAGTGGTTGGCAAGGATCAGACGTCAAAATGACAACATCCACCGCATTTCAAGCGCAATCGCGGCCAACAGACTTTATCAATACGTTTTTTACGGATTGCGGATCTTACAATAATTTTACTGTTACGTTGCGGCCCTATTAACGGTCTGTGGATTGTTGTATGTACCGTAGCTCAACGGCCTGTGGGTTGTCGAAGGCACCGCAGTTCATGTTGCGAGGCCTGTGCTGGATACTGATTCGACGAGGGCGGCTTCCATTTACGACATGAGCCCATCTAGTTACCTTCGAAACGCGAAGCCCGCGCCATCACGGCGAAGATTAGGCTGCGGCTCGGACTTTGCACCACCGCCCGATCAAATATTCATATTTTCATCAAGGTTTCGCCATGAAGCTGTAGACAGTGAGGTGCATACAGGACACGTGCACAAGATCAGCCCGCCGGGACCAGTGCCGAGTGGCTGTGCAGTGAACTGAACAGGTCGCTAGCCGCCCCGATTCCACACGCGATGATGGCCTACCGCGGACAAGTCAGCCGTGAAGAGCGTAAGTCCCGTCAGGTGGAGTGCTCAGTGCAGACAGTGCTGCGGGCAGTTGCCCTCCCCCCCCCCCTCCCCCCTCCCCCGGCAGTGAGGCACACAGTGCAGGCAGTGGGGCCGCCGCATGAGGCAAAGGCAAAGGCAAAGCTCACTCGCAGCAGGCTACCTGACGCGGCATGGCGGCGAGCAGCGACGCAACCATTCGGCCAACCACTGTGGGAACGGTCGGCACCAATTAACGGCGGGCGTACACACGCCTGAGTCTGGATTGGAGAAAGTGAGGGCAGCGTTATAATCACGCACTGGGTGGAAAAGGACGTCAGAGTGAATCCACAACCTCGTTGTTAAATGGGAACCACATTACGTAATACGCGAGCTGAAAGCGATAACTTTTCTACAACCTAACAATACTGACCACTGTAGTCACGCCACATAAGTGCCACGTATTCCATGCACTCAGGTGTCGGATGCATACATATGCGTTTACTGCTTGCGTGTCACCTTGACGGATAAAGCAGCCACGTCCCGCAGCGAAGCAAATTATATCATCTAAGCCTGGATGTAAAAGACGTCCTTGCGTGGTGGCGAACTGTTGTGCACCCACAGCCTCGGCGAATGTGCGACAGGAAAACTGTGGCGTATAAAGAGGTTTGTGATGCCAATGAATATGAGAAACCTACATGGTGAGATAGCATCGATATGCATGTCATTTTTAATCGCGCCGCCACGTTGTACAGTCGAGCCAAGTTGTGCCTCCATGCCCGGAAATTCGTTCGTACTGTATAATACATGCCCCAGCAAACCAAGACAGACCCATTTTTGCCTGGCATGTGTTGGAAGCAGCCATAAATGTGTCATCATAATACGGCAAACGACTATGAGATGAAAACAAAAAGAGCCGCCAGATGGCAGGTCATTACATTATCGTCGCCCAGGTGGCGCTGTTTGGGCGACAGTGGCAATATTTGACGAGTGCGCGGAGCGACGACGAGCGTGCGTAGTAACAGGGAGACACCAACCGACGCATTCCTGGCATAGATTTACAAAACTCAAAGGGGGAAAGTGCTCATATTGTTCCAGGCATTGGTTTCCGCCAGAATGATCGCATTTGCAGCAATGCCCGTCCCCGTGGCTCAGTTGGTTAGAGCGCCTGCATCCCGATCCATACAGCCCATGGCAGGATGGGTTCCAGTCGCTTTAGGGCACTCGCTATTTGCCTTTGGCAGGTATGGCCTGCGGCCGTGGCAGCGGTCGCGCTAAAGGTCAGTTGACGTCAGAGGGCGGAACGGACGTCCCGAGCGTTGCGGTACGTTAAGCTCTCGCCCCTAAATTCTGCCGTTGCCTGGAATTGCGCGATCGAATGGTGGGGGTCAGGGCTCACACAACAAGCACTGCTTTGCGCGAGCGCTGATCCCAGAAATCTATCTATTCAAAGGTTTCGGATCAATTTGTTTTTAATGCTTGCTATTTGTGGTCAGCCTGCTGCTGAGATCGCAAATTCGGCAATTGTGGTCATTTCGGCTACACATCCACATTTTCGAATGAAAAGTTCCATCCCAAATCCATGATGACGCAGCTTGTTCCCCAATGAATTTCGGCACAATCGGATTCCAGGAACCATGTTCCTTTCAGCAAAACCAAGTCTTTTCTGTTCATATTTGTGGTGAAGCACATCGACGAGCCAGCCCATGCGCCATTTAAACGTGTGAATAACCATGAATCAATTAAAAATGTGGCAGTCAATAAGGAAAAGACACCTGAAAGCACAACACTTTGCAGACCTCAAACAACGGCCCAAGCTCAGGCTACACTGAGCACCAGCATGGTGCGCTCCACTCACCCAGAGGGTTGGAAGACACAGTCCGAGCTGCTGGTTGCTGATCACATGTTGGATCACCCTCTGAAATGGAGGGTGTTGGGTCTTCATGTGGGCAGCGCTTGTGGATGTGCAGTCATCCCTCCAGAGGGCAGCTTCAGACTGGACAGAGGAAGGTATGGGGCTGGGCCATGCAATACATGCCAGGGCTGAACACAATTAAGTCAGCATAAGTCCATGCCTGGGGCTGAACTGATGACCTTGTAGGTGGATGGAGACACATTGGTATTCTGTGCATGATGCTGAGGATTTGGGAGTCCAAACCAAGAGTGGGATTGGGCTGTCAATACAGGGCCAACATACTCCCAAGGGGCTGTGACTAAAAAAAAAATGGATGGAGGTCTTCACATTAGCACAGATTTTGGGGACAGTTTGCTATGGCCCAAGGGTTTTTGGTTGTACTGAGATATGGCTGCAAAGATCTGTGGATCAAAGAAGAGGCAAAGGACACACCTTGAGTACAAACTAGTATGTGCTAAATGCACAAACAACAATAAGCAACACAAGAAAACTTTCCATGATTTTCAAGTGTGTTCATAAGGTGAGTTTAGATTTCAGCTTTATTTTGCTCAAATTTTGACTTATAGCCCATGTATCTGTCCTCATGCCTTTCTATGCACCCAAATGCACAGTGCCAAGTACTACAGTGCATTTTCTGATCCTATGTTTTTGTTTTCTCTTTGCCTCTTATTCAGCAAGCATGCTACAATGTTTCTGCAGTAATGTCTTCTACCAACACTGGATCCGTATTTCAGCCAGATGCACGAGCACTACAGAACATTATTTCTTATACTGTTATATACAGGGCAGTGGTGTGTCAAACCTTAAGTGCACAAATTGCAATTTAGCATTTGTCTGCACTGCTTGAGTTTCAGTAGCAGCATTCATTAGCAACCATTCTGCTGGCTCATAGAATGGTATGGAATGCTATCCTGAGATAACATATGCTGCTAATTGGACAGCAGCATCTGAGATGGCACATGTTTGCTGAGTTTATTATTAAGTATTGGCTCTCGCATTTACATGTGCTGGCTACAGCTCTGACCTCAGCAAAGCAAACAATGAATCCAGATGTCTAGCAGGATTCTAACAAACAGGTATTTCACATCCATATTCCATCGCATGCAGTCCCAGCAAAAAAATACATTGCTTCCTTTGTAACTCACTGTCATATGAAAGCAGATCAGGCAGACTTTGAGGCAGCATTACCACCAGATCATACATAACACGCTAAGCGAGAGGATCTTTAGATCAATTGGCGATTCGGATGCTACTTACACATACCTGCGCGTGCCGACTGGCAACAGGCGGTGTCTGAAAGCTGAGACTGCCCAGCTTCTTCCGATGATGTGCAATATGTGAGTACTAACACAAACACATCACCTTGATCCACAGATATCGCAGCCTGAGCTTCTTCTACTTTTTCAGCCTCTACTTTTTCTAGAAGAACCACGGTGCGCGTGGGTGGTACGTAGCTTTCACATTCAATGTGCCTATCCACTGCAATCACACTTACACTTTCAGGGCCTTGACCCCAAAGTCAACAGACGGCGACGCATGTGCCCAGTCGCTTATCTCAAATGGTCAAAGCTAATGTTTGGGCGACAGCGAAAACGGCCTGTCTGGGGGAATACCGCACCGAGATATTCTCAGAAAAGCTGCCAATTTGTGGCAGCCACAGCGGCCACGAATGCTTTCCCTCGGGTTTCGAAATCGTGAGCGCGATATCTAGAAGAACCGGGAGCGCATTCATAGTCGTTGCAAGTGTAATTAAAGGATAGCGGTGCTGTTTAACCTCGAAAAAATTGGAGAATTCCTAAGTCCTGAGCGCGCAATCAAGGCCATTAGGGGTACCCGCCCACTTAAAACGTTGAAATTAGAGATTTATAGTTAAGAAATGCAGCAGTGACCTAAATCTCTGAGGATCCCAGTTGGAAGCGTGGCGCAGACAAGCTACCGGCGCTCCAAAATTCCGGTGTGTTCCTCGGCGTGCCGCGGAACGGCACTAGGGTCGGCGTCCAGCCTACCAGCGTCACCGGTCGGATCTTGACTACCATGCAGGGCCGAGGAAGGATGCGCACGGGCCAGCCTCCCAGAAGGATGGGGTAGGGCAAGTATTAATATACCACCAACACAGCTCGGCGCCAGGCGGCTCCGTAAATCTCGAGAGCATGCGTTGGCGAAAATTGGTCCTGGGGCCGCTGGTCGGTTATTCCCTAAGGGCCAACAGTTCACCGCCCTCTACGATTTTTTGTACGATTTCGAAGATCGAGAGCTTACATTGAAGCACAGTTTTCAGTACGTTTCCACACGAAATTTCTACATACGTTTTCGAGAAAAAAACATTTCGTGCCGACCATAGGCCAGACGCGAATTTGACTTCACCATGATTTCATTTGTTCGCTTTCTTAGATTTTATTCGTTCGTTTTTTAATTCGTTCCATTTGTGTTTAAGGTATTTTGCATTCCTGGCTGGCTTTGCACTCCTTGGTTATGTTCACTTGCCAGTCTGGTAGTTCGTTCGACTGACATCACCTGTCGTGGGTGTAACCATGTTTTAGAGATGAGGTCGAGAAAACCTGAATTGAAGGAGTCGGACTAAAAAGAACACGCGGGTGAGGGTAAAATTGCTGGTAATCTGACCAGAAAGTGGCATTTAAATGGAAAAATATTAAAACCAGGATTTGACGGGAAAATTGATAGGTACAACGGTTGTTTTGGGAGAATTTGGGAGGCATGTTCTCCTTAGCCTCCCTTCCCTCCCTGTCGTAATAGCTGGTGCCACATGAATGTTACCAGATACAGGTGACACTAATGTCACCTATAGCTGGGTATCGCACATGTCGGTGGCATTGTGAGGATAAACAAAAGAACCTCGTTTTAGTTGTTAAGACAACTTCTAAAGATGCCATGTCACTGCCTTTGAACACATGTGCTGTGTTCTCGGTGATCTGCACGCTTTTCAGCGTCACCTGGATTCCCAAGGACTTCAGGCAGTACAGGCATAGGTCGCTGTTATTGCAGTGTCCAGAGCGTTATCCAGCAGGGTGGAGAAGAGGTGAGATTATAATCATGATGCCTTATGGAGGACTCTTAGCAAGCGAAGTGCGATGTTAATGGGTTACACAACGCTGCATTAGCCCCACTGCGAAAGTTCAAATACTGTCCTGACTTTTGTAACTCAACGGATTTCACTTACTTTTATAGGAGCGTTCCAAAACACTGCCTCTAGTACAAGTTACTCTGCTCTCTTCGAAGTCCAGATTCTAGAGATGCCATTTCTGGCAAGACTGACCATTTTAGGAGAGCATGACCCAGTTGCCCTCCTTTTTTCTGGATCCCCCCTTGACTTCGTCTCGTAAAAATACCTAGTGGTAACACCACACGAAACACGGGAATCAGGACGTAGAGTCAAACGACCGGGATTGCAGCGGTATCGAGTGTTACGTATAGATGTAGCGGAAGCTAGCCCACATTCAGCCCAGATTAAGCCCAGCCCAGACATGGCAGCATAAATGTAGGGAATTCCCTTTACGGGCCAATATCTCCCCTGGGATAACGAAATCCTGGACTGGCGAAACGTCACCTGAAAGCTCTCTTTCGGCCAAAGACAACAGTGCACAGAAAAATCACCTACCTTGTCTAGGGGGAAAGCTATAGACGATCCGAAAAATCATGTCTATGGGGTGGCCCCTGCGATTTTCTTCAAAATTGCGTCATCGAACCATCGACAGATACGCATCAATCCGGCTGAAGAAACCCTATGGGGCATTGATATTCAGGGGGTCAAAAACCCTTAGGAACATATATAACGGGGTTTTGCACTTACTTAACGGTAAACATAGGCCGAGTTGCATGTCAAATGGAAGCACGTGGCATCCCAAATGCAGACGTGCAAACCCAAAACCCCTATCTTGTCTAGGGGAAAAGTTATAAACGATCTAAAAAATCATGTCTATGGGGCGACCCCTGCGATTTTCTTCAAAATTGCGTCATCGAACAATTGCCAGATACGTATCAATCCGGCTGAAGAAATCTTACGGGACATTGATATTCAGGGGGTCAAAAACCTTTAGGAAACATACATAACGGGGTTTTGCACTTACTTAACGGCAAAGATAGGCATATGTTTGCTTATTATTTATAGAGACATTTCTGCTCACAAATTTCTCTAGAATGCTGGCCGTTTTCGTCGTCGTCAAGATTCGTTTGACCGTTTGAGACACGCTTGCTCTTCATGGCTCCGTGTATAACAGGCACGCAATGCAGAAACAGTCCGGCGATTTGACCGTTGTCATCGGTATGTACTGGGCCAGGCCGCCGTTGCCCGCACTACCTTTGGAAGAAACATAGACTCGAATCATTTCTTAACTAATATCGGTGAAGCTACAAAATCGACACCATACGATGCGGTGTACATTTCTCTATTACAAAACTTTTTGCCTGTTTTCCTCCTAACGTTTCCCGCTCACACCATGTGCCACGTGACATCAGATCATACAGATCCGCATTCTTGTATCCTCTCCTAATCACGAACGCTTTCAAGCACTTTCAAGCGGTTTAAATGCTCGCTTTTACTGTTTTTACGATGATACTGCATATGCTCGCCGGAAATGACTACGTGACCACGATTCATCTGGCAGAAGCCGCTTTCTTGACACAAGGTTGATTCCATATTCGGGTTCACTGATGAATAAAGAGCATGAAGCGTGAAGCCAGTTCAGCAGCGATGCAAGTACGCATGTGCAGTACTGGATGCAGCTTACAGTTACTTTTTACAACAATAACAAAAACATCTGCAATGAGTAGGGCTGACAATCTTTGCGCTCCCCATCCTGTCCCACAACCATGCATAGAATCAATTTGAGTCTCACTAAATGGCCCCAACTGGGGAGAATTGGTCACAGCTCGTCTGGACTCAAATGGTCACCAGCATGTGATAACAGCTGGTCTACCAATTACAATCTCGCACACCTTACCTTACTTACCAAAAACAGTCTTTTTCACTTAAAAGTACACCAATAGTTATCAGTAAGCCTGTTTCATCACACCTGATACTTGCTTTAAGATCTTAAAATGTGGAATATTCTCTACAGCAGAGCACAGATCACTGACAGGTCATTGACAGATCCCACGACCCGAATAGTGGCGTGATCTAAACAAAAAAAGACGATTTCCTATAGCTGGACATCAAATTTGACCATTTGTATATGGCACCAGTTGTTAAGCCTTCAGCGAAGGAGGGCGCATTTTCCGCGCAGTCGTGCAGTTGCCGCAGCCGTGCAGTCGTGCGGCCGCCATCATCGAGTGGTGCTGGCTTGGAGAAGTTGGTCGTGCGCGTCACGTTGGTTCACCGTAACGGAGGCGCGATGCATAGCTGCCAGCTATGCTTAGTGTGAGATGGGTGCTATGACGCCACACAAGCAGTTCTCCGACAAACGCGCATGGGGCGTGGGACAGCGACTCGGCGGAACATGCGGTGGGATGTTCCACACGACGGGTGATGACAAGCAAAGAGTCGTTACTACCCCGTAGGTGGCCAGAGAACGTCTGTGAGCTGGCCGCTTGACCGGCCGCGGTGATCCCTCGAGTGAATGGTGAGGCAAGAGGGTCGGCACTCACTGAAAGGGTAACGTCAGACATCTTCCGTTCTTGGAGAGTAATGCTCGAGGCGATTGTGAATGCTAAGGGTTCTACCGAGTCGTGAATGGTCGGCTTTCCTTGTTACCTTCTGGCAATTGGTAAATCACGCCGGTCAACTGTCCTGCAAAAGATAACAGACGGTAAAAACCCACCTGCATGTGGTGATAAAATGAGCGTATTCTTAAGGCGGCCTCGAATACAAAGCGCCTAGCACCCCGTGGGAGACGAGAAATGTATGTGTGCGTGTTACACGCTTACCGCGGTTTTAGATACAGGAGAATAGTAAGACGTTTTCAGTGCAGCAACAAATAAAAGACAAGTCAATGCATGTAATTAGGAAAGTAGCTGTCTTATGGCACAACACGCCGTAAGAGCTGTTTAACCGAAACACGCCAAAGAACCGCTCACCGGCGACGATGTTAAAACTTACGAGTATTTCGTCGCTCAGAGCTTAAAATAGTTTTTGAGCCTCCAAGTGTTTTGCGTCATGTACGATAAAATACTGTCATTAAAATGAATGCTGCTCGAGTGGCGCAGGCAGGATTTTGTTCAGGTGGTGCTAGGAGGCAGCACCCACCCAACCCCATGAGTGACATCACACCTGTCAACGTCCACCATCTTTTCCCCATAACTCACATCCCTAATACCCAAACACTCGAATCTCCCACACGCTAAGAAGCCCCACTCCCCACTTGTGTACCACCTCGGTGAAGCAGTCATTGTGGTGGCGTAGCGCGTGCCAATGTGGATAGGAGGTACATGGCTCAAGCCTTACCTCTGAAGGCCTTTCCTCGATTGACTTATAACCAGGATATGGCAGCAACTGGGCAGTGGAAGTCCTGCTGCAGGATTAACGCTGCACCAACCGGCGCCGTGGGTTCACGGGCATAGTCTGCC